CCTGTGGTCTCAGCAGTGGCCTTGTAAAGGCTATAATGAACGTTCATACACTTAAGGCAAAACACTACAGGCAAAAATGTTTTTATGTAGTAGTATTTGAAACTCAAAAGATTTTGTAGTTGCTTTTTTTTCTTTTTACTGTGTACATGTCTTTAAAAAAAAGCCGTACATATCTTTTGCACTGAGCCATAAATCCACTTCAGCACCACTTACATACATTTTTACTCCTATTTCTCTATTTTGCATTTTTATTTCCAGAGGAGTTTGTTCATATATCATTTGTTCGATTTTAAACATTTTATTCATTAAAACATGTTTGTTTTCCCTTTACGGGCTGATATCAAAAGAGATATAAATATACCTTCTGTAAAAACCTTCAACTCTAGTATCCACAAAATTTTGAACCTGGCTTTATCCAACATTCAGATTTCTGTTTTGGAAAATATGCAAATTAGTGCAAATGATGTGCATCTGCATTAAACTTAACATTTCAGAAAACTTGTATTACAATTTTTTTTTTTGCAATTCCTAATGCAATCAATCAACTGGGGAAGTATGGTGATATCATAAGCTGTAAACTCAGTAACTGATTATGTTAAGTATAACTCAAAAACAGATTTCAAGTTCCCAGCATGCATTGTTTAAAACTCTGTAAGGAGAGTAAAAATTTTGAAATGACGTGTTATTTATTTATATTATATTTTTTGCACAAGATCAATAGGGGGAGATCTGTTATTTTTGGAATTTAAAAGGGTTTCTGTTTAAAATGTAAGAGAATTGAGTTAGGTATTCTAAATTGAATGGTTTTTATTAAGTTTCAGTTTCTTTGATACTTTTATTTCACAGTACTCATAACAGTGACATGTGAAGGCCAAGTGTGGTAACTATTCAGAAATTATTCTCTGCATTTAACCCATCCAAGTGAGTGCACACACATTAGGCGCAGTGAGTAGTGAACACACACACACACACACACACACACACACACACACACTGCAAACAATGGGCACACACATCCGGAACAGTGGGCAGCCATTTTTAGCTTGCAGTGTTTGCTTACCCTGTTCTTGGTGACACAGCAACAGTACAAATATCCAATGTTTCCCTTATTTTGAGAAGATAAATCAAGTGTGTTTGATTAGAAGTAGAACATTTGCATGTCGTGTACCTCTGGGAACCGGGTTGGAATCCAGACAGCAACATAGTCTCTGCCCAGATCTGGTATACGTGGATTCCACACGGCCCAGATGGGGGCCGGATCTGGGCCGACGACACTATGTTGCTGTCTGTGAAAGCAACTCTCAATAATTCTTACTTAAACTCATGCTATTCCCTCGACTTGTTCTGAGCTCATTTCCCAAAAGCATCGTAAGCCTAAGTTGATCGTAGAACAATTGCCACCAATGGTCAGACACACACACACACACACACACACACACACACACACACACACACACACACACACACACACACACACACACACACACACACACACACATACGTTTATTTGACTAGTGAGAACATCTTATAGCCTTCCATTGTTTTATGGCCTACTCCTAAACCATAACCATCACAGAAACATACGTTACATTGAAATATAAACATAATTTGGCTGATATGAGCTTTTGGGTACACATAAAATGGGAACTAGTGGGTACGCACAAAATGTTCTCACACGCTTTAAAATGTTGCCTTGTAAAAGTGAACCAAACCAGGAAGAAAATGCAACATTGTTACAAATTAATTCCCTGTTTTGGGCAGCCCGTTCTCATCCCAAGGCGTCATATACTGACGCTTTTGCCAAAGCGTCTATATCCAACGCACATGGCACCCTTTAGCGTCAATATGAGACGCAGATATATGGCGCCTCCTAGTGGTCTAACCCTAACACTACCCAAGACCTAAACCTACCCATAACCGAAGCGTGTTATATTGACGCTAAAGGGTGCCGTGTGCGTCGGATGTAGACGCTTTGGCAAAAGCGTCAGTATATGACGCCTTGGGATGAGAATGCGTTGGTTTTGGGACAAAGAAAACGATCTAAGTGTGAAAACACCCTAAGACGTTTTTGCTCAACCTGCTTTTGCATTCCCCATTGTCCACAAAAGATGAACAGTGCAGAGAATTCAATTAGAATTTAGGGAATTTAGAATTGATCAAATTGTCTTGAATGTATGGAGGGATTATTGGGTCAGATTGAAAACTAAAAGTCTAAAACTAAAAGTCTTAAACGAAAACCAAAAGTCTAAGTTTGAAACTAAAAGTCTAAGTCGAAAATGAATTTGGTATTTAGGATTGGGCATTTGGTATTTAGGATAGGGCATTTCGTATTTAGGATTGGGCATTTGGTCATTTAGGATTTAGGATTGGGCATTTAGGGATTTAGGATTGGGCATTTAATGATTTAGCCATTTAGGATTGGGCATTTGAGGGTTGAGGATTGAGGAGTGTATGCAAATAAGGAGGCGTGGCCCAAATACTGGAGGCTTGGTTTGAAATGGCAGGTGCAGATGCACCTTATGGACAGCAGAGGGCGCTCCAGTGCTAAGGAGCACACTGTAATGAAACCGAACAGAGCGAGTGAGCAGGTCATGGTCTGGAGCGAGGACTGTACTTTATAATGTGATAACTTCAACTTAATGACAGCATTGTATAGGGGTACTGGAACGGTACATGTATTCCTATTGAACCGAAACGGTAGCCTACGGGCGTCACGGTTCGGTGCACGAATTTACACGGAGAATACACGGTATAAAAATGAACAAAACTCTAAATAGCGGTACATTTCGCTCTATTCGCGTTTGATGTGAAGGCAGCATAATAAACAGGCTGCGACGTCAAGATTGCAATGCTGGAGTGTGTGCGCAAAGTTCAAACTGCAAAGTGTGTATATTTGTGTACACTCGCAATAAAATACAACATTGTCCCTTTGTCACACTCTAAAATCTTGTCAAACTGTAACCTACAACTGTCACCCAACCAAAATCACACACACTCTCTCTCTCTCACACACACACACACACACACACACACACACACACACCTAGTTCGATCGCGCCCGCGCCTCCCCCCTCTCTCTCTCACACACATACACACACACACACTCTCTCTCTCTATCTCTCTCTCGCGCGCGCACACACACACTCCAGCATTGCAATCTTGACATCGCAGCCTGTTTATTATGCTGCGTTCACACCAAACGCGAATAGAGCGAAATGTACCGCTATTTCGAGTTTTATTTATTTTTATACCGTATATTCTCTGTGTAAATTCGTGCACCGAACCGTGACGCCCGTAGGCTACCGTTTCGGTTCAATAGGAATACATGTACCGTTCCAGTACCCCTATACAACGCTGTCATTAAGTTGAAGTTATCACATTATAAAGTACAGTCCTCGCTCCAGACCATGACCTGCTCACTCGCTCTGTTCGGTTTCATTACAGTGTGCTCCTTAGCACTGGAGCTCCCTCTGCTGTCCATAAGGTGCATCTGCACCAGCCATTTCAAACCCAGCCTCCAGTATTTGGGCCACGCCTCCTTATTTGCATACACTCCTCAATCCTCAATCCTCAAATGCCCAATCCTACATGGCTAAATCATTAAATGCCCAATCCTAAATCCCTAAATGCCCAATCCTAAATCCTAAATGGCTAAATGACCAAATGCCCAATCCTAAATACGAAATGCCCTATCCTAAATACCAAATGCCCAATCCTAAATACCAAATGCCCAATCCTAAATACCAAATTCATTTTCGACTTCGACTTTTAGTTTTCGACTTAGACTTTTGGTTTTCGTTTAAGACTTTTAGTTTTAGACTTTTAGTTTTCAATCTGACCCAATAATCCCTCCATATGAATGTTCTTTTCCCCCTTAAAAATCTTCATTTTCTCTGCACTGTTTTGACCATCTGGAATGAGTTTAGATGTAATGAATTAGATTTGATAGAGTATCTTGAAAGTGTCCCATGTCCTGCTGCTCTAGTCTAATAATGCAACGCAATGCATTTACAAACTGTTAACAGCGAATGGTAAAAGAGGCCATATGATGCTTTAAATGTTTTCCTTTTCCTTTAGTGTCTGTTTGTGCATGAATAGGATCTGCAAAGTTATAAAGCTCATAGTCTTACACAAAATGGATTTATTGTAAACCGAGAACACTGCTCCAGACCTGCCTAAAACGATGTCCAGATATTACCTCTGAAAATGTCTACGTCACTTCGTCACAAATGTGACATATTAGCATAAACCGCTTCTGGGTTCTACGCCAGAACCCCGGCTCAGTATTGGCCAGCTCCTGCGTCAGCATCACACGCATGTGTCATGCTGACCAGCGTCGGCCAATAGTGAGCCGGCGTTCTGACGTAGAACCCAGAAGCGTTGCACTGTGTTTACAATGTCAACAGCGTAGGAGACTGACACAAAAGAGAAGTTATTTCTGTTTGCTTTTGCGCACAAAAAGTATTCTTGTCACTTCATGACATTAAGATTGAACCACTGTAGTCACATGGACTATTTTAAAGATGTCTTTATTACCTTTCTGGGCCTTGAAAGTGGCCGTTGCGTTGCTGTCGTTGGAGTGATCAGAAAGCTCTCGGATTTCATCAAAAAGATCTTAATTTGTGTTCCGAAGATGAACGAAGGTCTTACAGGTTTGGAACGACACGAGTGTGAGTAATTAATGACAGAAATTGGAGCTCCAGAAAATTCATTTTTGGGTGAACTAACCCTTTATCTAATAACTTATAAGTGACATGACTATACTGCTGCACAACACTGTCCTTCAGGACATTGATATGAGGACATTTCCTTATCACATACCAGAAGATTAAACATTAAACCATAAAATAATCTGCAATATTTAAATGAATATTGAATTTGAAGAAATTAGTTAATATATATAGAGAGAGATAAAGTAGAACACCGCTGTTTTTTTGCTCACAGACACTCAGGTGTTTTATTCATTCAAATTAGATTAAAATGTCATGTTATAACAGCAACACAGACTGACTGTTTTAAATTTAAACTGGAATAGGCTTTAAAAATTGGCCCTGTCAATGCGATCCTGGTTCACGTGTGACGAGCTCTTTTTCTGCAGCATCAGAATGTACTCGGCAAACTCTCGAACGGCTCCGTGGCCGGCGGGTCTCTGACAGGTGTATTTCGCTGCGATGAGATCTGCCACAGGTGCGTCACACGGGACGCCATTCAGCCCCACCTTAGACAGGATCTCTACGTCTTCAGCTTCTGAACCTGTGAGAGAAAACATCACCTCAATAAGCAATTTGATTATTTTGCATGTGGTTCCAGGGTTATTTACACCATTCGTTTGGACGTTCCTGTGTCTTCCAGTGTAAAACACTGCGGAATGCTCTAGATCGAAGCTTTAACTGACAGCCTGTCATACATAGATTCATAAAATCTAGATTATTAATTAATAAAGGGCTCCAATTTATTTTCATAATTTCACAAGTAAAAATTAGCATAGTTATACCATACAATACAAGGCAAAGAGTAAAATGGATTTTTTAAAATATATTATGCATGTTAAGATGTCTTTTGAACATACAGAAGCTCAGAAATTGAATAAATTATCCATAAATTAGGTGTACAGTACATTTAATATAGCCTATTAACATTTTAATAGAGTACCAATCTTGCTTTTAAATAAATTGTTTAAGTGAAGAAAAAAAAATGTCAATGGTGGGGAAAGAGTTAATTAAACCTTTTCAGTTGCAAACTTTATTTTGATGAGTTGAATCAGTCTTTCTAGCAGAATTTGAATTTGTCTCATATTTGATGAAGTCTGCCTCATTAATTCTGTTATTTTCCTGATTATTACTGTGAAGCTGCTTTGAAACAATTTGTTTTGCATATATAAAGTGCTATATAAATAAATAAATGTTACTTGACATGCTTAAACCTGATTTAGCTGGATTTTTAAAATGACACCCTCACCCGTGAAGGCCACTTCATCCCAGCGCAGTTTTTTGCACACAAAAAGTAATCTAGTCACTTTATGACATTAAGGTTGAACCACTGTAGTCACATGGACTATTTTAAAGATGTCTTTATTACCTTTCTGGGCCTTAGCCGTTGAGTTGCTGTCTATGGAGTGATCAGAAAGCTCTCGGATTTCATCAAAAAGATCTTAATTTGTGTTCCGAAGATGAACGAAGGTCTTACAGGTTTGGAACGACACGAGGGTGAGTAATTAATGACAGAAATTGGAGCTTCAGAAAATTCATTTTTGGGTGAACTAACCCTTTATCTAATAACTTATAACCAGGGTTGCACATAACTTTTTTGGTCTGGTTCTCAAAGGTGCACCTGGAGATGCTGCGTGGTATTCACGTTTTACGCGGCACACTTATCCTACAAGCTGTCGTCATCACAAATGAAATTAGTGCTTTATGTTTTTCAGGCAAGTCTAACTGTATTCAGTAATATTGTATTCAGCTTGAATAATCAAATGTAAAATAAGACTATAGTCTTCACTCAATAAATTAAATATAATTAATGTAATTAATACAATCTATCTGTGTTAAAGCTATAAAAGTGATTTTCTCTTTCTCTTTTGTTGTTTGATTAACATTGGGTTAACAAACAGCTGCTGGTATATTTTAAGACAAATGAGGGATCTCACACATAACACAGGCTCTAACAAAACAGCGCGCGAGTTCCAGTCTTGTTCTTGTGCTTGATGTTGAAACTGACAGGACTTAAAAACACAAGCAAATGATAAACTTTCACTCCATGATGGGTAACCTTTGCAATTAATCCGTGAAATGCATGCGTTCCGAACCGAAGCGATCAACTAAGATCCATTCGTGCATTCTGTCATCGCATATCCTGTGATGTGATTATTTTGCAGATACGCACATCGCGATATCGATGCTAAAACGATATATCGTGCTGCCATAAATGGAGAAAAATCCTACTCCAGTAAGTAAACGTGTCCGTGTCCCTAAAAATGTTGGTACTCAAAAGCGCTTCCCTCCACGTTTTCCCTCTACGTAAATAAATGATACACTCTAAAAAATGCTGGGTTGTTTTAACCCAATTTTGGGTCAAATATGGACAAACCCAATTGTTGGATTAAAAATGCAATTTATAAATTTAACCCAACAGCTGGGTTTGTCCATATTTGACCCAAAATTGGGTTAAAACAACCCAGCATTTTTTAGAGTGTACTTGACATGCTTAAAACTGGTTTAGCTGGATTTTTAAAATGACACCCTCACCCATGAAGGCCACTTCATCCCAGCGCAGTTTCCTCTTTTCCATCAGCCGCTTCACATCAAGCCCTTTCTGCTGGTCTCCAATCCTGAGGCCACATCCGGCCTGCTGGGACACTTTCTCCAGGAGAGCCCTGGACAGCAGCTCGTTCACGCTGGATATGAGGATCACCTGATGAAAGTTAGGAAACATCAAATCCAAATGATCCCCGTTTACTTTCTTAATACATGTTCTTCTGCTCTTAATGTTGCATGCTATTGACAATAATAGATGTATGAACAAATAAAGTGGTTTGTGAATGGCCATAGGTGTAACTACTCCATAAAAAAGGGAAATTAACAGCAGCTGTGGTTGCCAGAATTTTCTTCTTTTCTTTTTATCCCATGTGTGTGGTATGGTATCCCATTTATGTATATCCCACAATTTGTATAAAAATCACTGATCAAAATAGGTGGATGGAAACATACTACTGTAAATTATAAGATGCTTTTGTTATGTTTTTACATCCAAAGTCTGTACATTTGACAACATTTTAATGTAAAATTATACTTAAAATGTCCTGTTATATTTAAATTTTTTTACTATAGTAAGGGAACTTCTCATTAATAAATGATCAGGGCCCGTATTCATAAAGTATCTTAATGCAAAGAGTAGCTCCTAGTGACAAAAGTCTAAGAAAATTCTTAGAAATGTGGGCGTTTACTCGTAATTCAGAAAGCATCTTAACCCTTAAAAGAGGTCTTAAGGTCAAAGCTGTTAGGAGTATGAACGAGGACTTTTAAGAGGCTTAAGAGTTTCTTTAGCAGAGGAGAAATGGCAGAAAGACGAAAAGGGAGAAGAAATGTGTTGCAGACAATGGATGATGACAGTGAGTTAATAAGACGCTATAGATTGACACCCGGCCCGAATTTTCCTTTAAGGATGACCTTGTGTTCATCCACTAACTGGGCTAACAGTAAACACTGTTCCAGTCGGGCTTTCTCGTCCTTCTTGGTTTTGATTTCATGTTTGTTACATTAAAACCAACATTCAAACCACCACTTAAATAGACATGCCAGCAATCAGTGTAATTGGAAAGAGTGGAACATTTTTTGTCATTCTAAGCCAATCAAATACCTTATAGGAAATGAACAGCATGGTAAATAAAAAAAAGGATTTATATACACATATATAATGTGTGTGTGAGAGAGAGAGAGAACGCTCAAATAGGAAAAATGACGCATGTAATTTCAAGTGAAGGCTTAGAAAAGACCCTATACTTAAAATCACTCTTTTTTTCCTTCTTGGACAACCAACCAATCACAGTCTTCAAAAGATTGTGTCACACATAGCAACGGGGTCAACCCCGCCTCCTCACTAAGATGAGAGTTTTTGTCTTTTCCTTACTCATAGTTGCTCTCAGATCGGTCCCGAATCACTCTTAAACTAAGACTCCTATGTAAAACTTTTTAAGCTAAATTAAGAGTTTTCTAAAAGGATTCTTAGAATCTTTATGAATACGGGCCCAGGTGTTAACCATAGTATTTTTACAGTATTTTACTGCTAAATTTTTATTTTTTTTTACAGTGTAAAGGTACTATGTCCCGTTATTTGTCCCAGCCTACACAAGCGTACCTCTATATCTTCTCTCTTTAGCATCTGTACGCCTGCCACGTCTCGAGCATTGATGGCCACAAGATCCTCTCCAGAAACCGACGTGTATATCTGACTGCTCGTCAGACAGCCAGACACTTTACACAGAAACAGCCTGACCGCCGCTTTCTCCTCTCGGCCGAAGTAGCCAAACCTGCAGAAAAGGCCAGCATTTATATCTGCATTATTGTGTTTAGTCACAAACAGAGTTTGATGAAATCGCCACCTCAGAACTCTCTGCTCAGCGACAGGCCAGTCGATGTCCACGTCGATGTCAACGCTGTGCTCTGGCAGCATTTCATAGTAAGCGATCTTGCCCAGCTAAAACACACAGAACAGATCAAAATAACTGATGCAGAGCGTTTGCGGCCATGAGCTCTCGTGGAGAGGTTTCTTTCACACATGGGACATTTTTTTTTAAATGTTGACTTTTTCTCCCATTAAAGTTGATTACAAGTATTTATGAACATCTTTATGTTTGACTTTTTCTTTTTTCTTTTTTTTCTACAAATGAAGGACTGGTTGTGATATCAGTGATTAGTAAATATTTTTCTAAGTATCTAAGGGGTTTCAATAACAACCAGTTTTATTATTTTAAAGATAATTTTCTTTGTTTTTATTTAGTAAATTACATTTTAGACTTTTACTTTCTGAACCTGGACTTTACACCTCTGACGAAAGTAAACGGCAGATGCTTCATCGCCGACTGCCAAAACAGCTCAACGTAAATGTGAAATGCCCCAGGCCTGGTCTTCTCTCATCTTTCACTGTCATCACTCCTCCTCTTATCTTTCAGAGCTCCTAGGACTCCAGACTGGTGACGTTCATTAACACTCGCGCCACCGGCCTCACCCCGTTTCCACGGCTCGCGACCTGCTCTTCACCGTAACATTAAAACCACAGTAATTTGAACGATACAATCTTGTGTATTTTTTTTCTGGTGTAATCGACTGTTGTTTTCAGTGTCTTCTAGTAGCAGCTGTACAGTTTAGTCGACTGGTCTTGCACATCCCTCGACAGGACTAACATGAGTAAATGCTCTTCCATTATTTTTATGTAGTGTCCATTAATCATTGCCAGACACAGATCTTGCTGAGGCAGATGAATTTAATGTCAGCATGGAAATTATCTCCAGAGGGGGGACATGGAAATAGTATTGTGCCAGGGTAAATTATTTACATTGAGAAATGGCAGCATTTAAGTTTAAAACCAATATGGAATGGATAGTTTCAGTAGTCACCCCTTCAGCTGAAAAAGCTTTGTTAGGCAACACTAAATGGACAATTTTGTAATTGTAAATTAGCTCATACTCCCAAACCATAGATAAGTTTAATGAGAAGGGCAAAATGCTGTAGGTTGGAGACCTGCGTGAAGTTGGCCCGCCACCCAACGCAAAACGTCATCAAAATATGCTAATCGTTTGTGCTCTGTTTGTGCTGGTTTGTGCTGGTTTGTGCTGTAAAAAGTTGATTGTGCTGCTTCGGTTTTTTAGATATTAAAAGAATATTTTTAGGTCATTCTGAGGTCACTCAGCCCCCCCACATGATCCAAATTTACCCCAAATAGTCTTGTTCGTTTGTGCTGGTTTGTGTCGGTAATTTTTTTTTTTTTTTTTTTTTTACAGCACAAACCAGAACAAACGATTGAGCATATTTTATACGTTTTGCGTTGGGTTGGGGGCCAACTTCACACAGATAGGATGGAGTCATGATAAGAACCTTATCTTTTAGTGACTTGGGGTTCAACCCTATGGTGAAGATATGGCAGGTGGGAGCTAATGGGTAGCTTACATGTTAAATTGGGTACCATTAGTCTTTTGCATCTTTACTTCAACTGTCCACCTTCCTGTCTGTATATAGTGTTGTTTTTTGTCTCTGTTTCAAAATGTAATGCGATATGCAACTGCAATCGCTCGGACTGGGCAAATGTCTATTGTCCATTCATGTGTGAACTGATTGTTTTTTTTGTACTGTTATTGTGAAGCGTCCTTGAGCTTGGGAAAGGCGCTATTTAAATTAAACTTATTATTATTATTATTACACCACCCGGAGTTTAGTCGCCACACGGCCTTTAAGATAGCTGTCTACATCTCTATAAGGGAGTCTATTTTTCATTCTCTCTGTCGACGGCCTTCAAGAAGTTCACTGATGGTTCAAGCAAGCCATATCATACCGAGGACACTCTGTGGCAACAACACTGGCAATCAGAATAAAAGAAACTTCAGAGACATAACTTCACAATCCTCAATTTTTCAAGATTGTTCTTTTGGAAAACAGACTGCATGACATTTCATGAACGGATATTCTGTGCTTTAAGGTCACAATTACAGACACTGAAATTTTGATCATATGACAGAGCTATAAAAGCAACGGGCTTTACATCCGTTTAGGATGATTTATGGGTACATCACCCTGAAGATCGACTAAGTTGGACTCTTAACAATGTGTACTCAGTACAGGGGTACCAAAGTTCAAATCACATAGCTGTCATAAAAGGTTTAAGCCTGAATATAGATTAAAGCCAGGTCTATGGATAATTCTGGTTAACTATCACACTAAATGGTATCGAGCTAACATATTGCCATGATACTTTACTGTATTGGTTCATTACTGATTGATTACTCAGATTCCTTATTTGGTTGGAACCCCACAATGGTATGCCAAGTAGGGCTGGGTATTGCTAAAAAATTTTCGATACCGGTACCTTGACTTCGAAACCAGTTCCTGAACGATTTTTTTTTTTTGATACCAATATTATGAAATCCGTTTTAACAAGATTACATTACATATTACCTTAAAATGACCCAATGACGCTTAAGCGCATGCATAAACAATCTAGGCTGTGTTTCCCATACAACAACGATAAACTAAAAGACATGAATGGTATTTGCCTGCATACAACAGTACTGATTCTATCAGTTTGCTCTTAATGTGAAATCTGAAGGGAATTCTTCCTGGTGAATTTTAGATGTGACAAAATTCCTCTAACAATGAGAATTGGTTGTTCTAATGCCACACACTTGGTAACAAAGCGTATCTATTCTTTTCTAAGGGATGGAAAGGTAGATGTTACTTGGCTTATCTATTACTGGCAATGCAAGTAGTGGATAGGATTATGACACAGACTAGGAATTCAATCTCTGAAATGTAATGAGGAAGGTTGTTTTACAAAAACGAAATGGCTCTAGAAGTTAGCCGGCCAGGGAAGGAAGAAAAGGAACATGCAAAGTGATTGCAACTGAGTGTTGTTCATATATCCCAGACAACACTGGTAGAGCAGTGTACAATTTAGCTAAATTTCTGCATGAACAGGTAGCTAAAATGTTTTGATAATGATCAAAGGTTTGCTTGCATTTAATCAATCTATGTAATCAAATGTTTTCATAAATGATTCAGAGTGGAGAATGAAGGATCTAAGGGATTTCAATATCAACCTGTTTTACTTTATAAAAGCAACCATACTGTCACTATTTACAACGGAGATCGGACAAAGACTGACTGAACAGACGGAACTTAAATGCAAACACAGATGACAATGATTAACGAAACACTACAGATAACGATGATTGCCTGCAAACTTGTGTGGTGCATCTTCTTACTCTGAACTTATACCTTGGAAGTACTTTCCACGACTTTTTGCATTTTAAAAACAAAGTTTTCTTTTCTTTAAAAAAAAAAAGTTTTTAATATTGAAAACAACAATTGACAATCAATCAATCAATCAAGGGACAAGCATTCTTTTCAAATTACACTGAACAAAATTATAAACGCAGCACTTTTGTTTTTGCCCCCATTTTTCATGAGCTGAACACAAAGATCTAAGACTTTTTCTATGTAAACAAAAGGCCTATTTCTCTCAAATATTGTTCACAAATCTGTCTAAAGCTGTGTTAGTGAGCACTTCTCCTTTGCCGAGATAATCCATCCACCTCACAGGTGTGGCATATCAAGATGCTGATTAGACAGCATGATTATTGCAGGTGTGCCTTAGGCTGGCCACAATAAAAGGCCACTCTGAAATGTGCAGTTTTATCACACAGCACAATGCCTCAGATGTCCCAAGTTTTGAGGGACTTCACGGATGAATCCCGGTTTTCACTGTACAGGGCAGATGGTAGACAGCGTGTATGGCGTCGTGTGGGTGAGCGGTTTGCTGATGTCAACGTTGTGGATCGAGTGGCCCATGGTGGCGGTGGGGTTATGGTATGGGCAGGCGTATGTTATGGACAATGAACACAGGTGCATTATATTGATGGCATTTTGAATGCACAGAGATACCGTGACGAGATCCTGAGGCCCATTGTTGTGCCATTCATCCACGACCATCACCTCATGTTGCAGCATGATAATCCACGGCCCCATGAGGCAAGGATCTGTTCACAATTCCTGGAAGCTGAAAACATCCAGGTTCTTGCATGGCAAGCATACTCACTGGACATGTCACCCATTGAGTATTTATGGGATGCTCTGGATCGGCTTATACGGGTCCTGCCAATATCCAGCAACTTCGCACAGCCATTGAAGAGGAGTGGACCGACATTCCACTGGCCACAATCAACAACCTGATCAACTATGCGAAGGAGATGTGTTGCACTGTGTGAGGCAAATGGTGGTCACACCAGATACTGACTGGTTTTCGGACCCCCCCCCCCAGACCTCCCCCAATACAGTGCACATTTTAGAGTGGCCTTTTATTGTGGCCAGCCTAAGGCACACCTGTGCAATAATCATGCTGTTTAATCAGCATCTTGATATGCCACACCTGTGAGGTGGATGGATTATCTCGGCAAAGGATTAATTTTGAAATAATTAATGCTTAACCTTGCAAAAAAAGGTAGGGATGCACCGATATTACAATTTTGGCTGATACCGATAATTCTTTAAATTTGCAAGCCGAAAACCGATATATTGGCTGATAAATCTAAATCCAAATTTTATAAAAATTTTGAGAGCCTGATTACAAAAACAAAATGCTCACCATTAAAAGCCACTTTTTAAGCCCTTCAACATAAATCATAAACATACAATACAATAGCCTAGTTTGTTATAGTTATTATTGTGTAGCGATGATCACCGGCGTAAAGATGATCACTGGTGCGCTTTACTACCACATTAATTCTTTACCAAACGCATCCTATATGAGATAAGTCATATATATAGGCTATCATCGGCTTTAACATAGTGGCCAAATTTTTTTATTGGGTCGATAACGATAACATTAGAAATTATCATAATCGGCTGATACAGAAATACAGATATATATATATATATATATATAAAAAAAGGTAATAAAAATGAACAAATAAATAACTGTAAATATCATAAGTGGTGTGGCTTTTCAGGCACTAATAATTAAAAAACATGTACAATTTACATTATGCCTTTACATGGTGTTTCTAGGCTAATTATAATCTTTTCCATGACTTTCACCATATTTTGATAACTACCCACCTGTGTAAGGCCGTTTTCCAGGTCCTTTCTCTTATAAAAGTAGAAAGAGCCATTTTCATAGAGTTCCCCAGGCCAGTCTTGGCGTCGAGGTCTGTGCGCCACATCGATGTTCGGCGAAGTCGGATTCTTACCCACTAATTACAATGAAAGATAGTGAAGAACATAGTGAAGGAAGCAGGAAAGTAGTTCCATCTAAACTACCTGTCACTAAACAATTGTTTCCTTATAGGAGTTTGTGAGATGTTTTCGTGATACTGTACCTTTCTTGTCCACCTCCTCCCACCGAAACTGGTGTCTGCGCACCACTGAAAACACATAGTCATACCCCTGTCCCGTGATCATCTGTAGGGCTTCTCTGATATGATGAGGGTGCAGACATGGAGATGTAGCCTGAATATGACAGACGATGTCCACCTCTAAAACACAGCGACAAAACAAATGACAAATACAATAAAGATGGAGGCCTTTCTGGGCCGTAAACAGTTTTGGTAACACTTTACAATAAGGTTTCAATAGTTAACATGAACTAAGAATGAACAATACTTTTACAGCATTTATTGATATTAGTTAATCCACTGTGATCTAACATGAACAGTTTGATTTAACATTAACAAAGATTGTAAAAAATGTAGGTAACACTTTATTTTGCAGTGTCCTTGTTACACGTTACATGTTGTTCCTAGTAATAACTATAAATTATGCATAATTACATGCAACTAACCCTACAACCTAATTCTAACCCTAAACCTATAGTCAGTACACTTTCAGCTTACTAAAAATATTTACAATGTGTAATGAAAATTACATTAAAAAAATTATTTAAAGTAGGCTACATAAATGTCCTTACTAAATATAGTATACAAGTTCAAATTAATTCTGCAGTGCTCAACAGCAAGGTTTTTTCACACACACACACACACACACACACACACACACACACACACACACACACACACACACACACACACACACACACACACACACACACACACACACACACACACACACACACACACGTGTTGTGTTTTCATGTTTTATAGGGACTTTCCATAGAAATAATGTTTTTTTATACTGTACAAACTGTATATTCTCTCCCAATATACATCCATAAACCTACCCATCACAGAAATCTTTCTGCATTTTTACATTTTCAAAAAACATCCCCAAGCTGTTTTCCTCATGCATGGGGACCAAAACATGTCCAAGGATTTTGGATATTGCCATCCTTGTATGTATACTGTATGTGTGGTTTACGGGAACTAGACTTAATGGTTTATTCTGTACAAACTGTACACATTTGTACACACACACACACACACACACACACACACACACACACACACACACACACACACACACACACACACACACACACACACACACACACACACACACATTATTAGCTTGTATTTTTATCTCCTACATTCCTCAGTTCAAAACACATAGGCCTATGCAAGAAAATTATAGCATATGCTAAATGACAAAACATGTATTTTTTATCTCATAAAAGGCTCTACAAGTCATAGGCTACTTGCAATGCAAAACCTCATATGTTAGCAAGTTATCAATTTTTAGGCATAAAATGAAAGTAAGATGATGAAGGTGTGTCTCACCGGGTCTCAGTCGGATGAACTCCTGGATGGTCTCCAGAGAGCTGGAATAATCGTTGGAAACTTCAGGACTGCGTCGATGAACTTTCGCACCCCAGACTTTTGCGACCCGCTCAATTTCATCATGATCTGTGGAAACCCACACGCTGACACACATAGTGACATCAGTCATTAAAAAAAACCTCACTTTTACTTACAAAAGACACATTAAGACTATTTTAATAGAAATCTTAGAAGACGGAAGCTCGCCGCGGAATAAAAAAAAAATAGTAGCCCTTATTTTCTCGACTTCTTAATAAAAAAATAAATAAAAATAATAATAATAATAAAAAAAGTCAGAATTGTGAGAAATAGGCTAGGCTAAACATTTGCTTTAAAAAGGGAGTTAGAATTGCGAACTAATTAATGAGCCGCAATTAGCCAACAATTGTAGCCTATTGTTTATTCGTCGCGGAAATGACCTTTAAAAGCAGACTAATTGTGCTCATTTAATCTTAAACATGACGACAAACTTAGGCTATATCCACCACAAAAATTTCATCTCCCAATTTAAGTTGGTTTCTTTACATTGAAGAACAAAAATAAAAAAGTATTAAAGCGATAATATTAAAACCGTTAAGAAAAGCTCAAAAGTAGTTGCCTGTCAACGACTCCTGAGTCCAAGGCAGCTCTCAGAACCCATCCGATGAGAGGAACACCGGCCAGATTCTTGATGTTCTTCAGAGGGATTCCTTTACTGCCACCCCGGGCCAGAATCAGAGCCGCCCGGTGAGGGAGTCCAGAGGACGGGGAACCGACACCCGAACTCACCTGAGCCTGAGCCTGTGCGCACCTGTGGCTCTCCATCGCCCTGAGACGCAGTGAGGGGACTGAGAAGTGTGAGACTTTTTATTTACTTTCATTTTATTTACTCGTTAGATTATTAGTTCGATAGATTTAATAGCATATGTTATGTTTAACGATCGGAGGCGTTTCCTATATGACAAATACTCAAATAGATCGTCTTTATCTGCCAGATATTCATCACTCAGCCAAGCAACCGGTGCTACTTTTACATCTCTCGTATCACTCCGCGATCTCTGACTTTAGTTCACCAGAGACATAGCCTGCGTTACAACATGAGTTGTGTTTTAAAACAGTCACAGACAGTGAACATTAAACCCTCGATAGAAGCTGAAGAGTATCCGGATAAAGAGATAAAACAAAAACATCGCTATAAGAAAACAAACATGTAAGTGACACAAAGAGCGGAATGAGAGCGAACGGCAAATAAGTAGACAAGTAAGTTACTTGGATTGTTTAATAAGTAGGCTATATTGTTTCTAATAATCGATTCTAATTGCTTAATTTATAATAGGCTACTATATATAAACTATTATTATATATTTTGCCGTGTTCATTTTGTTTTGCTACTTAGGCTAAGTATAGCCTATACTTGCAGCCGGTCTACATTATACTTAAAGTGTGTTAATGATTAGTTAACGTTTGCTATTTTGGAACAACTTCAAGTAGGCCTATACTTAGTATATGCCTGTGTAGGGACCAATTACATGCTTGATCAGTGATATTAAAGTGTACTTTATTCGTTACAAGTATAGGCTACATAAAAAATTCATTACCGGTGTCTTCGAAAGATACAAACAATCATAAGTGTATTATATTTTGTATATGCTCAGAAATACCTTTAGCTTATTCCAAATACTACAAATTGCACACTTTGTCTTTAATAACAAATGCAAATTAATTAACAAGCTATAGGCTACTTTGTAAGGCTATATAATATATTGTAATGTATACTATAATGTATTTTGAAAGTATACTTTCAACGCATTGTTACACAATAATCATTTTCAGCACACAGTTAAAAATATACCTAAAATATATTTTTAAGTAAAGTGCAAATAAATACACTTTTAAAAAATAAACAGAATTTTCACTTCAAGTAGGCTATATTTTTCTAAAATATATTTTTTTTAGAAAATACAGCTACTAAAGTACAATTATTTTAAAGTGTGTTAAAAGTTGGGATGCTAATATAATTGTAATATATTTAAAGAATAATTTTGTTAGTATTTGCCATGTACTATTGAAAAAGGGAATATATTTCAAATACAGTAAAGTAGGCCATACTTTGTTTCACTAGGGCGGACATTTTCTTTTAGCGGAAGCTTAAAGATAATAAAATAAATCTGTAAATCCTGACATATCATCTGACAGTAAGAAATGGAACAGATGATTAAATATATAAAATAAAATAAAAATAAGTTTACATACTGGTTCTTTGTTTTTAAGTACACTGTAAAAAATTATCGTGATTTTAACGGTAAAAGACTGTAAAAATGCTACAGTGCAAAACTGTTAATTGGTTAACAGAAAGTTTCCTTACTATATACGGTAAATAACTGTGATAGATCTAACGGTACATTTAATGTAATTTTACTGTAAAATACCGTTAAATTTACAGTTTTTGAAAGTGAAAAGAACAACTCATTGTATAATTTACAGTGAAAAACCGTAAATTGACATTCCCACAATTCCCTGCATGACACTTCACATTTGATTTATTTTTGTTGAAATAACTGTTTCTTCTTAGTTTTCTTAATTCGTTTCTAATCAGTTATGTACATTAGGGTTTTATGTTACATTTAATGTTGTTAAATTAATGTTTATTTCATTTTTAAAATTTCATGTGTGTTACCATGATGGTGTTTAATGTTTGTGCGAATAACACTGTGCAGCTTCAATATAATAGTATTAACTTTCTTGTGGATGATTGCTTGTGATGAGCTTTGATTTATCATGTGACTGATCACTGCTGTGATGATTGTTGGTTGTCAGTGTATTACAATGGTACAAAACAGATATTAATACTTCAATAGGTTGGTAATTTATCATTATATCAGATAATGAATTACGGTTTAATACTGTAAATTTTACGTTAAGTCTGTAAAACCAAAAACGTTGATACCGTATTTTTGACGGTAAAGTTCTGGTAACCACAGCTGCCAGTTTTTTTCCGTAAAAACAACGGGATTTTTTTTACAGTGTAGCCTATCATGTTTTATTGGGTATATCAGGTTTACAACCCATACACTCTTAGAAGAGTTAGAACCTTTGGAGTTCAATAAAGAACTCCAAAGTGCAAATATGAACTTTCTAACTATCAAAAGGTTCAAAGGTTATTTGGAAGTTATTTTTAGAACCTTTGCTGTGGTAACAGGGTTGCTGTGGTAACAGGGTTCATATTAGAGGTTCAATCATGAATCTTTCTGTGATAACTACTGCGAGTTCAATTGATACAGTGTGTTTCATATGTACCCCCGACCAGCCCGCACATTTCTATAAATTGCATGACAATCTTGAAGGGCACCATGTTTTTTTTTTTTTTTTTTTTTAAGCACAAATTAAAGATAACTAAAATAAAAAGTTCAGTTTTACGTTCATAAATGGACAAGAGGCTGTTCAGTGTTAAATGGAGAGGCTAAAGTGAAATTCTTGGCCCTAGAAAGACTTTGTTCAATATCTTCAGATTAGACAACCGTACGTCCTTTGAATGTTCGCCAATTGAAGAGGACACTATGCATTGTGGGAGAAATCATGGGTCAGTTGTGATGCACAGCCATGTTATCAGCTCTCCTTCTGTTCCAACTTTATGTAGGCTTCTCTGCTACTATTTTGTTATTAGCTTATGCCCATGTTTTACATTTAGATACAATGTTATTAGAAAACGTTTATTAATTGTGTTAAGGTTTCTTGGGAGATATTTTTTTTCTTTATTTAGTTTATTATTATTATTACTAATTATTAGCCATTATGTGTTGAGATTGCTTGCCTAAACGTTTTTACAAAAAAAGTATATTGACAAATAACTGATAGCAATTCACAAGTACATTATTTTCACTAAAAGTAAACGAGATTAGTCGATTTTAAGAAATGAAATAAACAAATCCTTCAACACAACGCAATGCACTGAATCTCCAAAAGTCTCGCGCAATGATGTCAGTGCTGGTCACGCGGAAGAACCGTTACAAACGTTCAAGCGGAAGCAGCGGGAGCGGAGAAATGAAAATAACACCATATGTTACAAAATATTACAATTTTGAAAAAAATGCTGTAATTTTTTAACTTTGTTTTATTTTATCAAAGAATCCTGAAAAAGGTAGCCTATCACATGTTCTAAAAAAAATATTAGGCTAAGCAGTACATCTGTTGCCAACATTGAAATCAGCATATTAGAATTATTTCTGAAGGATCATGTGACACACTGACGTAATGATGCTGAAAATTCAGCTTTGCATCACAGGAATAAATTACATTTTAACATATAATCAAATAGAAGAAAAAAAAAACAGTTCTTTGAATTGTAATAATATCTCACAATATTACAGTTTACTGCAAGGCTTTTTGACATGTTCTTACATAGGCTATACCTTCTTCCAGTCTTGTCACTTAAGAACTGGTATTTGGTAACAAGGGCTGAGCAACTTGTTGTATTGTTTTCTTGTTGGACACCTGAAAATACAGAAAACTGTTTTAACCCTTCAGCATTCGATTAAATTATGCACTTAGTTATATTTTTTGTAATATTAATAATTTTAGTAATTTTTTGTCTTTTTTTTTAGATGGACGATCTGACTCAGATGTGTATCGAAAGAGTACACCCAACCATGTGCTGTATATAAATGAATGTGCCTTGGATGCAGAGTCTCTTTTAGAAATGATGAAAGGGAGAAGGTCTGTGAAGTTGATGTGACCATGGCTCTAGTTGTTCTAATCATAGATATCCATAATAAAGGCTAGATGTCTATTGATATTTTTATAACAGTAAGCTATAGCAACTGTTCTTAAATAAAATGCTTAAAATCAGTTACCAATCTATATCTCTTAAAAATGTCAGTAAGATGATGCTAGTGATAAAAGTATTTTTAATTGTAGGGCAAAACATAATACAAAGTAGGCTAAAACAAGCATGATTAAGAGATAAACGATCCTCAAAAGCCTGTTGTATCATATTTGACATTTTAACATGATCTATCTAAATGGATATTTGCTTCACATCATCATTCATCTCTCACCACACGAGAGCAGCAGTGTCACAGTTTTTGCATAATCAAAACAGAACAGTGTTTATGTGCTTGAAATAAAATTGATTTATATGATCAATTAACTTTGCTTTTGCCCTATTATTTTACTGTTTTTCTTTAAATTGTGTGTATCATTTTAATTTTTACTTTTACAAGCAGTTTTTGGTGACCCTTACAAAAAGAAGTATACTTCATGTTCATTTTATGAAACTTAAGTAATGTTCAAGTATATTTTATGTATATTTTATGTGGTGAGTGTACTAATACCAATGTACAAGTACTTGTAAGTGTACTATTTCAATACTTCTTGGGACTAAATTGGCCCACTTTTTAGTATATAAAAGTATACGCTTCAGTGTACGATATATGTAACAGTATTAAACTTTAAGTGCACAACAAAAGTAACAGAGTTGCACACTAGGGGGAAACATTTACAAAGTTTTAACTGCTTTTTGCTTCATAGAAAATCGAATTGATATAATTCAATATAAGCTATAAAAAAATCTTAAATTATATAAAACAGTTTTTTTTACATGAAAATTTACATTTGTGAACATGGAATTTTTCCATTAAAATAATAAAATGTATTATATAAACCTGACTGTCTCTATAGTTTTCCAAAAGACCAAATAATAGATGTTTCCAAAACAACACAAATTAGCCATCAATGTTCTTTGTGATAAAATCCAAAGAGTGTGCACTGCGGAGCGGACGAGTTTGCCTCTTTTTATAAAGTGGTGTTATTTAATTGTGTGCGTGCGTGCATCTAAAAGTAAG